GTAGTACTCGCCAAGCCTGCCAATTTATGAAGAAATGTATAGGTGGGTTTTTTAAATATTATTTTTATTGTGTTTGACATAAAATATTTAAATGTAATCCATTATTCATGATTTTACGTAAAGTAGATAGAATACACCATATGTCGCCACCCTTAGATATACCAAACCTGCCCACTGGTAATTCATTTGTTTGGAATGCCTAATACGTCACATTTTTAGAAACGTCATCATCCGCCATTTTTTACGGTAGGTCATCGTGCTGTATCCAAACAAACTTTTAGTGTATGGCTTGTTTGTATTTGTAAGGTTTTTAAGTGGAATTTGATCTGTTTCTTTATAGTTTTAAAACATTTTGACTAGTGAATAAACACTTACTGTGATCCTGTGCAACATTTAGTTATTTTTAAATCATTGTACATTCATATTGAGGTGAGTAATTATAACAAATTTGAACATCTAACCTCTAATTTGTATTAATTTTATTGAATAATATACTTATTGAGTTAGTTTTTTTGTATTTTCTAGCATGGCGCAAACGCATGTTATAACGTTTTCATGTATTTATGATTTTTTTGAAAATCATGGTGCCCAGCTCAAAAGAGGAGAAAATTCTTACAAAAGTGGTAATGTCATCAAATGTCTGTATGATTCTTCTGTTACACCGCCCCTTCTACAGGGAAATGTTATGGCCAGCATGAAGAAAAGAAAATATTTAGTGGAGGTTAGTTAATTTTTATAATAAAGTTTTTAAAAAAATACCTTAAAATATTATTTTTTTAGGTGATATTGAGCACTGATGGTTCAATTAATACAATGTCTTGCGAGTGTCCAAGAGGACAAGAAATCTGTCACCATATGGCAGCTTTTGTTCTTCATTGCCACTACAACATAAGCGTGACAGATAACTCTTGTTCTTGGGTAAAAAAATCCTCTGATGAAGACACAATTAAAAAAGTTAAAGACGTGTTCCCACCAAAAAAAGATTTCACTGCTACAAAAAGAAAAGCAACAGATGAAGAAATCGACAATTTTAAAAAGAGTTTGTCTGATTGTCCAGTAGGCTTTACGTGGTTACTAAGAAAAGATGTCTCCATAGAAATTACAAAAATCATTCCGGCAATTGAAGATATTTTATTTTGTACCGAATATATTGAAAGTATTGATAAAAATACCTATTTTATCGAGAATTCCAAATTAACATATGAACAAATTATGAAAATGGAAAGGGCTACTGTAGGCCAGTCAGCTAATGAAAATTGGCTAATTGCAAGAAAGCATAGACTTACTGCAAGTAAATTTGGAGCTGTCCTAAACTCGTTTAAAAATAACAAGTTTCCACCAAGCTTGTTTAAAAGCCTTCTGGGTGAGTACAACCTTGAAAAAGTGTTGGCAGTGCAGTGGGGTAGAGAAAATGAGAAGTTGGCACTTGAAGCTTTCGTAACTGCAACAGGCTTTAAAGTCAGAAAAAGTGGGTTGTGGCTAGATGAATGTGGCTTCTTAGGAGCAAGTCCTGATGGCCTTATTGATGAGGAAGAAGCCATTTTAGAAATTAAATGCCCTTACAAATTTAGGCACACTCCTCTAGAAGACGCACTTAAGGATACAAAGTATATTGTTTACAAAGAAAATGACATTGATTGCGTTAATGCCAGTCACATTTACTATCACCAAATGCAGGGTCAGTTATTTATTACGAATAAAAAAATATGTTATTTAATAATTTGGGTACCAAAAGAATATAAAATTTACTCGATTGAAAGAAATGATGACTGGGAAGAAAATCTAAATTTAATAAAAAGTTTTTATTTAGAAAAATTTGTACCTTATATTTGTAGTAATAAATAAAACAAAATGTTTAGTAAAATTGTGTTTTATTGAATTAACAAAAAATAAATCAGAATTACATTTTTTTTTTAACTTTATATCAGTCGCACATAAATAACGACTCAGTTTCTTTTATTAGTGGATACTGCAAATTAGTTAATGCTGCAATAACTTTAAAAATAATATCTGCATATTTAGACAATGTATGTGGTATTAAATCTAATATTTTATAACACTTCATCCTTCTAATGGCTCTTTCAACATGAATACGAGCTCTTGCTATTGTCTGAGTTTGTTGTATTTGCATTGTAGTAAATTGATTCGTAACTAAAAATGGTGGTATATTTAAATTGACTCCAGGAGGCAAAATATCGCCAATTAAAAAACCTTTATCTGCTAAAATGAGATCTCCTGGATTTAGTTTATCCAAAATGCCACAATCTTTTACAATATTTTTATCAGATGTGGATCCTACATACAAATCACTTACAAATGTTATTACTCCATTTGGTGCTGTACCTATTAAACCTTTAAATGTGTTTCTATGTTTATAAGAACTATAAGTATCCTTTTGATGTAGCATAGATTTTCGTACAACAGCAATAAATATTTCAGTACAATCTAAAATGATTCTACAGTTTGTAAATGTTGTGAAAGAATTGGGAAGACAAGTTTTATTTTTACTACGGTCTGGGATATGATCCATTAATTGTTTAAAGAGGATTTCATAAAGGACATGTATCCAAGTGATAACTATATTTGAAACCGTAGATTCAGAAACTTTAAATCTTATAGCTAAATCAGCATGAGGAAAATTCTGCCTTAACTTCATTAGAGTCATTAAAAGTTGATCAATTTTTTTAATTTTTTCTACCCTAGACTTATATACATAATCAAATTCAATATCTTTTACAATATTATACAGAGTCTCAAATATTTTCTTATGTGGTAGACCAGTATATAAACGAATTGATGCATCATTATTTGCAATTTTTTCAAAAGAAAATATGTCTGCCTTATCTGCTTTGTTAACTTCTCTTTGAAGGTCCAATTTCAGAAGGTAGTTTTCAGCCTCCAGCGCCGTGGCAGATAAAACTTGTGGTACTATATCTTGTTCCCTAAAAATGAAATACAAAATAATAACACTATCAACAGAAAAAAAAAAACAACTCACATTTGTATATTAGGCTCGCGTGATTGTGATGTTGAAGGTAAATCTTGAGGTGCCGCAATATCTTGAACACTGTAAAGAAAATAAATATAATAAAAAAACAAATACAAAAAATAACACTATCAACAGGAAAAAAAAAAACTACTCACATTTGTATATTAGGCTCTCGTGATTGTGATGTTGAAGGTAAATCTTGAGGTGCCACAATAATATCTTGAACACTGTAAAGAAAATAAATATAATAATAAAAAAACAAATACAAAACAAGTATTAGAAATTAAAAATTTAAAAAAACCGACTTCAAAAACCTGCAGATGCCATTACCACATCTTGACCAAATTTATATGGGACCACCCATGAGGTACCCCCTTACTTACAAAAAATAATCATAAATCGTGGTAAAGCATTATCACTAAACATACATAAAAAATCAAGAGTTTGAGGATTTTCTCGTGGACTCAATTATTAGATTTTGACCAAATTTATATGGGACCACCCCTGAAGTACCCCGTTTCTAACAAAAAAAGAATCATTGAAATCGGACACTGCGTTAAAGAATTATCGCTGAAGTCTGTTAAAAATAACACTATCAACAGGAAAAAACAACTTACATTTGTAAATTAGGCTCTCGTGATTGTGATGTTGAAGGTAAATCTTGAGGTGCCACAATAATATCTTGAACACTGTAATGAAAATAAATATAATAACAATAATAAAAAAAACATGTTTAATTTTACCTCTGAGATTGTGATGACGTGGAAGGTAAATTATAATCAATTTTTCTTTTGACACCTTGTCGTTTTTCAGGACTCAAGTATCCACAACCAAACATTTTTTTTTTATTAAATGAAAAGATTTCTGGTAAATTTTCTTTTTTTCCATCCCGAAAGTGGCAGCTGCACACAAAAGCTCCCTTTCCAGGAAGATCTGTTCGCCTAAAATTTAATATTTTAACCATAGGTAGGTGTTTTACATTATTATTTACTGTACCTCAAGCATTTTATCCATTTCTTTCGTAAAGTTTCATCTTTCGGAAAACGAAAAAATTTACAAGGCTCCCTATTATTGTAGTGGCTGCATCCATAGGCCCAGCACATAACCATTTTTGTATTAAATGTATATTTATTTATATTCAGAATTATAAGTATTATAAAGTCAAAACACTTTTGAGGTTATGTTTGTAACATAAAATCTCAAATTTTTAACAATTTATCCACACAAGAAATCCAGCAATTATCACATTACTTACACACAAGTATATACAATATTTTAACACATGAAAATTGTTCCAAAAACACTGTTTTAACCTTTAATAGCAGCCTTAAATAAAATTGCAATGCTAAACAAATACACGACAAAGCTTGTTTGGATACAGTCATTGACCTACCTCAAAATGACGTCAGAAAAATGTGACGTATAGAACTGTTAACCCCTGTCAACAGTAGCTAAAAAGTGATGTGTGAAACTGACTTCAATCTGACCAATTAGAAGTCTACAGAATTGCCAACTTAAATTCAAATCGCTCCTCTTAGTTTAAAAACAGAGTGTAGAAGATACATGCTTTGTGCTTTTGACCGTTCGGAGATAGTGGAGTGGATCGGGCATGCGCATAAGGTGATTTAAATCGATAATAAGTTAATTGTGACTGATTCTTTAGTAAATAAGTTTTTTTTTGGTTCCCGTGAATATCATTAATATGGAAGAAACTTACGGTCGTTACTGATAAGTACGATTAAATTTTAAGTACTGGTATGTCACATTAACAACTGACATTGCACTCCGAGAGTTAAAGGAGTAAATCATATTCGCACTCCGTTTACGCCTAATTACTCCACTCCACTCTGGAATGCGCAGCCCGAACTCACCTAGAATAGTGACAGAGTAAGTGTTCTGTGGTGATAGTGACATAACCTAAAAGGTGCTGGACCGGTTGTGTTTTTTGTTTACATTTCAAATTTCAAGAAAGAACACAAAATAAAATACAAGCAGTGTATTTTACTTAAAAATGTCAACCTTTCACGTTATAAAGCAACTAGAGGATAAAAATGTACAAAACGAAATTAATGTTATGGTCTGGAGTGACCGAATGGACCTTGTTGCACTTTCTAACATAAAAGGTGAATAAATTACCCTTTACTTACTTGTATTTTACACGTTTCATATTATGTAGGGGAGGTAGCACTACATAGATTATCATGGACTAGAGCCTGGAGTCTGAGTCCACCTAAAGAAAATTTGCAAGTAAATGCAATTGCTTGGAGGCCAGATGGTAAAGTTTTAGCAGTCGGCTACGATTCGGGTCAGTATAGTGGCTGCAGCTGCAACATTTTATTTCTGATACCTTCTTTAATTTCTTATTAAACTTGCATTGTATTTTAGGAGAGGTTTTATTAATTGGCATAGAAAATAAAAAAACCCTCAATGTCAAAGATGCAAGAACAGAAATTACTTGTTTGGCATGGGTTCAAGAAAAGGTTGAAACAAAATTAAAGGATACTTTCACATTGAAAGAAGAACCTCCTAAAAATTATATGAAATATATAGTAAGTTTTTGTGAAATTTTAAAATTGTTTGCTGGGATATTTTATTTGAAATATTACAGGACCTATCAAAATTATATTTAAGAGACCCAGTACCAAATGCATCTTTAGACTCTTCAAATTCGGAAGAAGCAAAGGAAACAAACTTTCTTCAAGATCAAACCGAGTTAAATTTGTTATTAGTAGGAACAAAAGATGGCTATGTGCATATTAGAGTTTTTGGCTGTTTTACTTGCTCAATTTTAAACATGAATGAATATTTAGGGACCTCTTGTTCTGTTGAGAACATTCATGTTAGTGAAGATCTGAGTAAAATATTTATAACAGTTAAAGATGCAGAACACAATATTAAAATAATTGTATTAAATGGTCAGATTTTTAAAACACATACTCAGGAGTTGTTTTGTGTGGCTATTAAGTACGTTAAATTGGTAGATTTGGTTAAATATTTAACTAATACAATTGCTAACATCACAGAAACATGGGAAAGCTTTTTGCTAGAAATAGATCATAAACTCTCAAAATATGCTAAAAAAGTACCTGAAGGTGGTGTAACAGCTGATTTTCTTGATCTACTGACATTTGGTATCTGTTCTCCCGAATTAGAAGAGTTTCTCATAACAGATCTTACAAAGAAAGGCTTAGAAAAGTTTGGACAAACCATTGAGATGAGTTATGCCAATATACAGAAATTACTGTTAAAGAATGTTACTAAATTCGGTCAGAATTTGAGTTATCATCTTGCTGAGTTGAGGGGCATGGCTAGACTGGAACATAGATATGATGTAAGTATTTACCATAATATTTGCAATTTACCAAACAAATGCAGATTCAGTATTTTAAAGCTCAATAAAATGATTATGGAATTAAAGAAATTTTATTGTTTATGAATTTGATAGCATTCTTTGAAAAAAATAATATTAAGTACTTATCTTTGTGTTAAATTACATTCTTGAATTTTAGGGTTTTATATCTTTTAACTTGCAAAGCTGCAACCAAAAAATCTTCACTCACTGACTCTGCAGTGACCATCTGTCCGATTTAACATGTGTTCCGATTTTGTCTGAATTAAAAAATCCAAATATTTCATTTAAGGTGCCTAACAATACAATTTTTATGGTGACGTGACAACTCACTGCATTAAATATTATGTGGTAACATTGTTTTATTTGTTGGTTTTATTTATACATTGGTGGTGCACATCAGGTTGAAAATTGGCAAACAGAAAGTCACCAGCAGTTTTAATTTTCTACCCCACCCTCTCCCATATTTTCGATTGGCACCGCTTTCTGCTTTTCAAAATATGGCCACTTTATGCATATCCCTTAATTCAGTTTGCCTAGTAGCAAAAGTATGTATGCTGTGTGAAACTGGCCACCACATACCATGTATTTATATTATAATGCTACTTTAGGTTATAGGACTAAAAGAAGACCAAATAACCAAAGCCATACAGTCAAGTGGTGCTTTTCTGATAAAAGCAGGAGAAATGCAACAAATTATTAACCATTCTGTGATCAATTACAAAGCTTTCTTCAGGTGGTTATATGGAGCCATTTTGTTTTTAATGGATGAGACTGTACCAACAGAAATACACAAAATTACCCAGCAAGATTTGGCATATATCACAGAGTTTCTTCAGAATTTTGATCACATAGGTATGTTTGGGTTTATGGTTTCATAATTTTTTTAAAGATTCCAGATAATTTTTCACCTAGGTCTGTGGAAAAACGTTTTTGTTTTAATGAATAAAATGATTGTCCATTAGATATCTTCTACAAATATCTAAGTTCTTTTAAGACTGCCTAAAATCACTGTAAATAACATAGAAAAAGCTTCCTATTTAACTATTCGTTTTTAAAATTTTATGTTTATTATATTTTTATAGATTTATATATTTTATTCTAATCCTAATCCTTAAATAATTTTTTTGTGATTTTAAACTTGTATACATCTATCTGTGATTGTCAATTTTAATCATGAATATATATGAATGACAATATAAATATGTATTTAAATTTAAATTCGTAAATAAATAAAAATATAAATGTAGGGTTGCCACCTTTTTGAAAAGTGAAAAAAGGATTACGATGCTGGTATACAAAAAGTCCTCATCCTTCTAGTGAAGTTCTAAAAAAAGGTCGTCGAGCTGAATGAAAGAAATCATCCTCGTCTTACCGAGATTCTAAAAAAAAGGTCCTCAGCTTGTATATTTTTTACAAACCATGTCCCTTCATTCAAAAAAGACATTTGTTGTAGAAACACATTTTTTGTCGTAAAAGAGGACATTTTCCGTAAAAAGAACATTTTAAGCTTTAAAAAGTCACAAGGACATTTTGCTTCAAAAAAGGACAGGTGGCAACCCTACATAAATGAGACAATCGGTTTTAAAAGTTCCTGAACTTGTCTGGGAAAGATCCAAAAAATAGGATGATAATTTTTTTTTATTTATTTAATAATAATAATAATACTCTCCCTAATTCACCCCCTTACGAGTGAATTTTAACCCCAAAAGCTGAGCTTGTGCGGGGAAAGGGACGGAAATTATTATTATTATTTGCCGTGGCGCTCCGGGGCGTCTTAAAGATGATTGATGGTGCCATTTGACTTACAGGTGAGGAAAACCTCACCAACCATCATCTAGACAGTAATGTATGGCGATTTTTTATAATCTGCATGTCATATCAACAGAAATTGATTTTCTATTAATACGGCACACATCAAATCCTATACCGAACCATGCAATTTAATTAAAAATCCACATGGTCCGGTCTGGGATTCGAAGCCCAGCAGTCTCTGACCCATAAACTTGCTTATAAATGAATATAAGCGCGTTAGACCGCTACACCACCGACTCGATAATGGATATACCATTTTACAAAACAAGAATACAATATGAATGAGAACGTTAAAAGATAGAATATAGATATCAAACAGCATTACAATAATTAATAAAGAAAACAATAAAAGGATACTAAGACGAAAATAGAAAATAATATATTATAAGTTTTTTTAAAAATGTAAAATACATTAAAGATAAATCAAATATTTGTATGTTAGCATTGTGATTATTGTAAGGGTTTCATTTTGTGCTTAGTCGGTAGTAATACGAAATATAAAATTATTCATATATACAGGTCCTACTGTTTGTGTTAAAATTCACTAGCCTCAATAAATTGGGACAGCAAATTGTACTACTCGGTAACTTGTGAAGAAAGCAGAGAGCAAATTGGGTAACAAAACATAATTAGAATAGAATAGAATTTTATTAACTATCACTACAATAAATGATTAATAGCAGGTCACAACAGAATATAACTTAATACCAACTTACTAATGCAGCATACATTCACCTCACACAAATACCAACACACTCATAAAAAAAACAAAAGTATACATATGTACATTTAAAACTAATACTAGTTACTGAACTTAAATTACATTAGTTCAGTGATTGGATGAGTGTTCATCAAGCTCAATGGGCAAACCACTCCTAATTTATTCCTGGAATTCTAAAACTGAATAAAATACATTTCTTTGAAAGAAGTGTTTCAAAATATTTTTGTAATTTAGATGATTCTATGAAATAATTATTTAAATACGATAGAAAGAATAAAAAGAAAATAATATATCAGGAGTAAAAAAGCGGCAATTACGACACTCCCTGTATAATAGAAAATGAGTTTCTAATTAATTTATTATTGTAAAAATGATAAAAAAAACCTATCTTAGTACGTAGTTCAGGAAACACAACGCCGAATTTGAATTTTTCAGTTTAACATTGTATCGGAAATCGGTGCTTCTGGATTTCGGACAGCTGAGCAAAAATAATTATTCGACGATCGATATCTGCCCGCGATAAATATAAAATGTTTAATAATAAGCGCCAGTTGAATTACGACTTGACGAGTTCCCTTGTCGAGCCCTACTTGGGATTTTCTCGGTAGGTTCGATTTTGAAAATTCGAAAAGATTATTTCACGTTAATTTATAATAAACTTGTTGGTAATAAGCACTAATTGAATTACGACTTGACCATGGTTCCTCGTCGAACTCTACTTGGGTGTTCCTCTGTAGGTTTGATTTTGGAAATTCGAGAAGACTATATCACGAAAAGTTCCTTCATATCTAGGTCTGTAGTAAAACTTTAAATAGCAAGCACCAGTCGAATCTCAGATCAGCGGAACAAAATTTTTAATCAGGAATAAAAATACCTACCCCGAAATTATGTATCGTATCTAAAACAAAACTACGGTTTAACTTTAAACAACACTTTTCGCGCCGTACGGATTCGAAACGAATTCATCGGGAACAGCAGCGAGAAAGCGCCCAGCTCCTTTGGGCTCTCGCATTATATCTCACGACCAGACTGCTCGGAGTTTTAATGTTTACTTGGGGAGAAAATAAAAAATGCCCTTTTCACACCTGCCGAACATACCTAGATAATTTACATGAAATTGAATGTTTAAATCCGGATTCGAATTTTGGTAAATAATGATATATTTTAAACTACGGGGATATTGCAAATGTTTAAAAACGGGAACTCTAGAGAAACAACAATTACGGGGGTTCTCGCAAATGTTCCCAAGCGGAAAATAACTTTTAATAAACAATTTATAAATTAAATTCAGAAGAAAAAATAGTGACTTCATCACAGTATAACACGATTAAACGCTTTTGAAAATATTGGTATATATTGCAATAGTCTGAGAGTGCTGTTAAAAAGCACCAATTATAAAGTTTTTATGAAGCTTCAAGTTTGTAGCTCTAGATTTACCGGAAATAAATTCATGTTGCTTACTATTGATTGTAGAATTAGTGCCCCATGATATATTTTTTTAAATAATACATTCTAATAACCTAGGATTTTCAGATTGAATGCAAATAGGCCTATAATTTGTAATATTATCCTTTGTGTCATATTTGTAAATTGGGATAAGACAGCTTTCCTTCCAGAAAGCAGGAAATACACCCGAAGACAATGATGAATTGAATAGATAATATAAAGGTTTTGCTATTTGGAAAAGTAAATTTTTTTGGAATACCTTCATGACCATAGGAAAGCATAATAATATCAATAATCTCCATAATATCAATATGTGGTAGTTAGAAACATCAACTTAATTTTTCCAAGTGTATACTGGCATGTGGTTAAGGTGTTCATGACAATAGACAAAAATAGGAAGCAAAAAGATTAACAATGACATTATTACAATAATTAACCTGTTTTTCTTCATAATGCATGGTAGCAGGTAAACGGGTAACTAGACCTTTAGTTATTGTAATATTTCTAGAAATATAACAGATTTTGTGTAAAATCATTGGAAGATAGGCGTAACATTTTTATTCACAAAGTCATATGTGGATTATTGACTGTCCTGAGATTTTAATTATGATTAGCTTTCTTGTGCGTCTGGAGTAAATTGTTCTTTCTATTTACCAACAGCGAGGACTAACATACAAAATCACTCACCTTTGTATGGAATATGCAACTGTTGTACTACAATAATTGGTTCCTCACTTGTAATTGTTCCTGATCATTGCTTCAATAAAACGTATGAGAACTGCTTAATAGTATGTACTTATTTGCATGTATGGTTCATTTTTAAATAATTATTAATTTGAATGGAAAATTATGGGAATTTTAAAAGTTAAAATAAAATCGAATATACTCGTGTATAGGTAGTGTTTTTTTGATACACATAGTAATGTTTATTTTCATATATTTTAAAAATAAACAAGAACAAAATATTTCGCTTTTAGCACTTTAAAAACTTAAAAGGGAGGTAACATATTTCGCTTCATCTATAGAAAAATATCGCGAAGGACGTGGAGTTGGCGTATTTTTAAAAATAATCACCACTCCTGTGCATAAAATCGATCTCTAAAACGTCTTTTTTTTTGATAATACCTAAAAAATATAATAATCCAACAAAATATTTTTAAAACAAGAAAATTATGTACTTACGTGGACACCAGTTATCTTCATAGATAAATGCCACCCAACAATCTTTATCGATTTAGAAATTTTTATTAGAATCGGTTTCTGGCGGCTATTGTTGGTCTTGGTTCTGGACCGTTTTAATAGAATCGTTTCTGGTGGCTGTGGTTCTGGTTATTATCTGCCGAGTTATCTGCCTTTCAATCACCATTATTTTCCTGTCATTTTCACTAATTGTCTCTTTTAAAATGTTACTTATATTTTGCTTTATCACATTTACAAACGTTTCATAATTATGTCACTAAAACAGCTGTTCGTTTGAGGGTGACGCCCACCCCATCGGGGCCCCTTTTCCGTGGCCCGCTTCAGAGAAGTTCCATGAAATACTTTTGATCGACGGAAACGCTTGTGGTAAATAAGTCTTAAGAATTAAAAACATTGTCTTATTCTTGTATTGAGTTGATGGACTGTCTGATAAAACGTAGAATACCTATATCAATCTGTCCAGGTATTTTTATCAAGTGTTCAAGAATAGGCATAGTCATAATTCTTTTAGGATCGTGCCTCAGGCTGGAAGAAATGGTGCAAAAGGATTGGAGATTGGACTAAACCCTGTTTGAAGTCAACCCCTGTATGGAGTGTAACTTGTTGCCTGGAGGACCAAAATGTACAGATTGGGTTTCAGCATGGTATTTGAACGAGAAATTTACAGAAAATGTACATGTAGCACTAGTTCTTTGTCGGTCAGTTTTTTTTAAATTTGTAACATACACTTATATTGATGAGAAATATTGTTCACATGCCACATATAAATTTGAAGCATGGATTGCAATTTGGCTACAAGAGAGTACAAATCGGTACAAATATCTTCTTTAACAGTTAATTGAACGATATCTTTTCCGGTTTTCACACTTTTTCTGGTTTCTTTTTTGTCGTCCATTTTTGATAAGCACATTGTTTGGCGCCGTCAAATTCTAAATAATGAGGTAATTTTTCCACACTCTGTAAACATTTTATTTCCCAACATCTTTCATTTCTGTCTTCGCATGTCAAATGTTTTATGAATTTATCTGGGTGACTTTCATTTATTACGTCTGGCTTAAAAAGTTTTTCAGTAATAAGTTTAATATTTTCGTGCTGTACGCATAAGCAAGTGTCCCTTGCTTCAAGTTTTGGGGGTACCACCCAAAATGGTCTTATTCGACAGAATGTTGTATATGAACTATTATAAAGGCTTTCTTTTCTAAATTTTTTGAATAGATATTTTAGAGAGTAGTTCAAATATCTCTTCTATTTTTTAACTTTTTCTAAAGTTTCTTACCTGGGCACTGTCTGCAATTAACATCATTTTCAAAAAAATTGTTAATATCATCTTGGAAGTACTTTAAAGACCTTTTCTTTTTCCTCTGAAATGCTAGATATAACGGTTTGGTGCCAATTTGATTTGTAGTAAGGGTAGGGTAAAAAAGATTTGCACATGATCAATAGCTTATACTTTTTAAAGACAGTACCTCCTACAGCTGTGGAAAACAAACGTTTTGATCTTTCATCTTGTAGATGGGAAAAATTATCTGAAAGTTGTCTTTTTACACACTCTTCAAATAGTAGTTGTCTTTTAACACACTCTCCAAATAGTAGTGGTCTTTTTACCTCAGCTGGAACTTCAATTCCCTTTGTAATGGTTTCAACTTTTGTTAATGGTAACGGATCCATTAGTGAAGGCTGAGATATAATGTCATATTTTTACTATCGTTTCTAGCAATCTTTAATTTTGCCCTGCTTAGTCTCTTTTTATACATATTAACGGTTCTTTGAAAACGTTCAATTAACCTTTTTTCTATAGAAAACCATCTGGCTAGTGGGGTTTCAGTTGACAATTTATTTTCCAGCTCCCTAGTATATAATAATAATCGTATTAGGGTAAATGCTGGAGGATATCTGTCTGGAGATAGTTGTACAATTTAGTTTTGAGGTTGTTAGCGTTGTGACCAGCCACGGTAATGTTTGTTTGACATGTTTCTTTAATTTTGGCAAAAAAAAACACCTTTAGTTCAAGCCTCGCTTGGAAAACATATGACTTTTTGTTTTATTTAAAAATTCTACAAAAAAAAAATAGGAATAAATGCCTGGGCACGAAATTAATAATAATTTGAAAATTACCCATATATTTAATTATTTTTATTTGTTTGGAAAATTGGTATCATTTGTTAAGTTTTTGATCATTTTTTGTTCATTTGTATATTTATAATTTGTTAGTTTTCCTATCCTGTAACTGGAGTTGTCTGTTGGGTAGTGTAATAAAAAAAAATCCGAACAATAGGATGATAAATTACTTGGAAATCCCCAAATTCAAAAATTACCCCTACTAAACAATTAAAATTATTTTTGAACCCCCAAGGTAAAAACAAATTTAATGAAAAATTCAACAGAACTTCCAATTTAACTCCCCAACTCAACTCAAGATAAAAATGTATTTTTACTTAATTCCTCAGTTAACGCCTCTATTTGGGCCACTACTGTTTAAAATTTTAATTGTGTGTCAAAGTTTCTTAGTAAAACGCCCGTTACAGCAAGCCGGATGAACAGACAGACATGAAGGTGATTTCAAGTGGACGGATCACCAAAAATTTCAATGCATAAAAATCGTGAATACTGCACCAAAGTTTTATAAAATTATAAATCAGATCCGCATGAGTTGTGCTAAAATTGTCGTGATAACTTTATACAGCTGATTAAACACTTGTAGAAGTGTCAAAAGTTTTTCTGTTGTTTTATTAAATTTATTATTCTATTCGTTATCCAAGGTTTATCTTTTTTAACTGAATATTTTTTGTATAACATTAAAAAGAATCATTTATATGTATACTTCTTTACTAGTTTTATTTTTTAGGCAATAAAGATGGTCAAAACACTAAAGGTTTTATTATGGAGCGCCTAGGTCAATACTTAGCCGACGCTCCATTAGTAGTTCTCCCCAATATGGACGGCAACGATTGGACATCCTTCCTATCCGAAAACGAATGCATCCAAAATCACCCAAGCATTTTACAACACTACAAAAACACCTCTTTAATACAACAATTCAAAGAATTGGCGGTCAAAATTTACGATATTTTTGACGCCCCTAAAACGGCCTTACAAGTAAAATTCAAGCCTATTTATATTTTCGATTGTTTCAATTTTGGGGAGGTAAATTTGAGAATGTCAAGTATTAATATTACCAAGGAAATGATTCTGTTCGCCTTTCTGCAACCGTCTACGCAATTTTTTTTACTGCAAGTTCACATAACGGATGATAAGTGCTTAGCTCGGTGTGGTAAATTCCATTTCACACAATTAACCGAGGAAAGCCCTCAAATTTACGATATTCTGGACGTGGCTTTTTATTCGAACAATATCCTTTCGCTGCTTCTGCAAGACACCACTGGATATAAGTCGGCGACGATATTACAATTCCCGTTGGCTCCTGCTTTAGAAAAACTCGTTGAAATTGATATAGCAGTGGATATCAGCAAAACGGCTCTTCCGAATTCGAATGGATCAGTGGTCACGCCTAAATTATTTAAAAACACCGAAATGGCAGGGTCTGTCTTTGCAGTGTCAGGTAGCAGAAGAGTCGGTATAGTGTTATCTGAGAATAAGAGGAAAATAAAATTGTTTGAAATGGAAGCTGAGGAAGAGGACGAAGAAGACGCGGATATGAGCAGCAGTATTATCAAAGAAGACGTCAGCATGCAGGAGAATGCGGTTGAATGAGAGTTAGTTATTATTTTTGATTTTGATATTTAGAATCCTGGTTTCAAATTGTTTTCTTGTAAATACATAGAGCGCTTCACGTAGAAAGTCTAGATTAACCCATTGGGTTTGCTCTGTAATGATTACCTTCTGATATACAGAGGATTTAACGATTTTTTTCAATTTAAGTAGTCATACCTTTCGAACGATGTGATGAAATTCGCTAAAATTTTGAAGCTTTATTTATTCTCAACCCAACTAAATTAAAGTAAGAATTTTCTTCAACAAAATTATGGTAAGAACCTCTAGAAGAGACATTTATGCTGTGCTTTTTCATTCCAAATATTGTCCTTTATACATATGACTTAGGCTGTTACCTTCATTGAATTACAAAACAAATGTTAATTACTTTGGGATTTTAAGAATTGTGTATTTTGCAGTACGGCAGATATAGCTGTACCCACCAAGGTAATATCAGTTAATAGAAGAGCAAAGTTCAGTTCGTTTCGGTTTTAGAGATGATCACTTGAATCTTAATACATTATAGTCGAAGTTATGCATTTTAAGACCATATCCTTTACGATTGCTCGACGCTCTCATTTATTAAAAGATTTTTGTTCGGCGAGTATCGGCTAATACCGGCCGATATAAGAGAAGCACCTCTTGGCGACGTTGTTAACTACATTAAATCTGTAGGCTGGCTCACGAGCTAGGAGGTGCCTATCATCTTAAGAGGATGCACAATGGGCCTAATGAGGCCTAAGTGCCATGGGGGTAATCCACCCTCCACACGTTACAGATACAGAGATGCATTTTAAGACGTCAAATTAAGTGTCGTAAAAATCGCGTTATGAGTGCATGAGGAAATAAACGTCTTATCGAATTTAATTATATAGAAGGAGTAGCTGCGTTTACAGGTAGGGCAAATACAATAATTTAAAACCACTTGTTTCAGTTCTCAGTAATTATTTATGTAGTACTTACAGAAAAAATTCTAAATAGTACAGTATATCTAACCTAAAAAAGCTACTGTAACGAGAAAAAAATATATTGAATATAAAAAAAAAGAAAAACTACACCACCATGATATGAGTAAAACTTAGACATAAGAAACTTACCTTTCAACAATTATTGTTAGTTTATTATTTATACAGAGCGAATCCTAAGTTGATCCTTTTGTTTATAGAAGTCATTAAAATAAACAACTTTTTCAAAAAAAACTCAAAAATAAAAACTTGCATTATTTTATTCCGAAATGTATACAATTTTTCTAATTTAAATATTGTGTAGAACTCTCGTCATTAAAATTAAATGTTGATCACATTCATCCATTGTTAGTACCATTCACAAAACTGAACTCTGCGAGGAAAATCTTTGAGTTGTAGTCTCAAATGTGAACCCTGCGGGATGCCTGAGGGCACATGTATGACTTGTAGTTTGAAATATGTACAATTTGACTTCTATCAATTAAGTAACTTTCCAACCAATTTACCATAGCCATTTTTAATTCGTACATTAAAACTCTATGATTTACCCTGTCAAAAGCTTTGGAGAAATCAGTATAAATAGAATATCCATTTTTAACGGCATTTGACACGTGGTGGGAATATGTTAATACATTTTAATTCTGTATCATTGTTATTTTTGAGTTTATCGAAAAAAAAAAAAATATATATAAAGACTTATACACAGTTAAAAAATATCAACATAGGATTCACCATGTATATACGAGGCCTGTCTAAAAAGTATCCGACCTTATTTTTTCCCTCGCAAAGTAGTGATTCTAAGGCGGCGCCACTGTGCACGGTGGAAGGAGGAACCTTAATGCGTATGCTTAAATTTTTTCACCGCGTTCGCTTGTGCAAGTCGCTGGCTGGTGGTCGCCAAGTAAGGTGCTGTTCTTAGTGTTTGTCGGATTTAGTTTTCTCGCAAGATGACTGAACGAATTGAGCAAAGATACTGCATCATATTCTGTCAAAAGCTTGGTGATTCTCAAAGCCAAACAATTCGTAAGATTCAGCAGGTGTTTGGAGAAGATGCGATGGGTGTAACACAAATTAAGGAGTGGTTTAACCGATTCAAAGATGGCCGCACATCAGCGGAGAGTGACCAGCGTTGTGGCAGGTCCCAAACTGCTCGGAGTGCAGCTATTGTTGAGAGCGTGCGAAATTTGATAATGGCAGATCGTCGTTTGACAGTGCGGCAGATTGCAGAAGAGGTTGGAGTGAGTAAAGATTTTGCACATGCAATTTTGCGTGAAGATTTAAACATGTACCGGGTGGCTGGCGAAATTCGTACCCAAGTTGTTGTCGCCGGAACAAAAAGATTTTCGTTTTGACATTGCACAAGACCTTCTGGACACCGCCAACACTGATCCTGGGTTTCTAAATACCGTGATAACTGGAGATGAGTCATGGGTGTACGGGTAGGACCCAGAAACAAAAAGACAGTCATCGCAATGGAAGCATCCCGATTCTCCAAGGCCGAAGAAAGCGCGTCAGATGCGAAGCAAAATCAAAGTGATGCTGACTGTTTTCTTTGATGTCCGTGGAATTGTGCATCACGAATACGCAGTTCGGCGCAAAAGGCCAGACATGTGGACGGCGATCAACTGGCACTTGCATCATGACAACGCCCCTGCACATTCATCCCAATTGATCAACACTTTCTTAGCCAAACATGGAATTACAACCGTTCGCCAACCTCCCTACTCTCCTGACCTGGCTCCTTGCGACTTCTGGTTGTTTCCAAAATTGAAGACGTCACTGAAAATATCCCGTTTTGAGAGTAGAGAAGAGATAATGCGGAACGTGACGACGGAGCTGAACACCATTCCAAAAGAAGACTTACAGAGGTGTTTCCAGCAGTGGAAGGATCGGTGGGCTAAGTGTGTGAAAGCACAAGGGGCCTACTTTGAAGGGGATTAGGGTCCGAACTCCGTCAGTTATTCGAAATATTTTTTCTGGCCAAAGGTCGGATACTTTTTAGACAGGCCTCGTATTATAATTTTAATACTATAATTTAATTAATAATACAAATCCTTGTTTTGGATCATACTTACCAGTTAATCTTTAACCAGAGAATTTAAACCAAGAAGGATTTTACTACCCAGTAAACCACAAATAGTCGGCATTCGCTCGGCCTGACACCGGCATGTACGGAAAGCCGAGTACTTGGATTGCCGTTGTCGGGGTTGTTTCTGAGCCGGGAGGACCGTACCATTTGAAGTAATTTAGAAGTAGAAACCGCATGTGGTCCATATTTGGATTTCCAAACATGGGAGGCATCCTTACGGGCCGAACGCGGTGAATATTTGACTAGTCAGGCATGGGAGGCATCCTTACGGGCCGAACTATATACGGAGTGGCCCAAAAGTCTGGAAACGGCCAATTATCTCGTAAATTACTAGTCCTAATTGTACAAAATTTGGGGTACACCTATTTTGGGATACAGAGATTTCAGATTTGATATTTGCAATGTTGCCAGATTTTCCGTTTCTCTTATATTATAAGTCACTTTGGTTTTTAAAATTCATCACCCTGTTTATTCAGTCATTATTGGAATCTCCTATTCAATACGAGTTCAACCATATGTAACACTTATCATTTTATGTAGTCTGGAAGGTCTCAAATAAATAAAGGACTCATGGAGAAATGTATACGCATTCTACCATCGATTAGGGTACTGTCAACTCACAAGTGGAGCACATTTTGAACACTTGATAAAGTAACCATTATGTTCAAAATGTTGTAATCTTCCAATTGTTACGTCTAATGTAGTTGAAAATAGTTTGTATTAAAAAATTTATTGAGAGAATTCGGCGTTGCTAGACTTCTGTTTTATTTATTTAAGACCTTCCAGACTACATAAAATCATAAGTGTTACATATGGTTGAACTCGTATTGAATATGAGATTCCAATAATGACTGAATATACAGGGTAATGAATTTGAAAAAACAAAAGTGACTAATATGAGAGAAACGGCAAATCTGGCAACATTGCAAATATCAAATCTAGAATCTCCGTATCCCAAAATAGGTGTACCCCAATTTTTGTAAAATTAGGACTAGCAATTTACGAGATAATTGGCCGTTTCCAGACTTTTGGGCCACTCTGTATAGATATATGAACGTGGCTACAATATAGTGGGCGGCCGACATTCGGCTAGGCGGACATGCCCTACCTATATGCCGAAGCTGCACCCGTATAACGGGCCGAGTCCGGCATCCGGCAGGCCTCCTTTGGCTCAGTTACGGTGCCGATTAACTGTGTTTATTGGGTAATTACGTCTAATACTTCAACTTCAATATTTTTAGTACACCCATAACAAATACTCGTATAATATAAAATCATCAATTTTACTATTTATTGTTACGCAAGCAGAATAACATAATACTAATAAATTTAGCAACTCATCAAGAATCGTTTGCTCCGCCGCGTCTCGAATTTACGCATGTCACAGCTTCTGCTATTTTTGTCGTCTGTAACAACTACCTTAATACTACCAATCATAACTGTAGGACTTATGAAATAGATAAGTTTTTATTTTTATTAATTTTATGAAAGCGACTAGCAGCGTGTCTATGCTCCTTATTCAACCATACTTTTTAATCGATGTTTTTTCGTTTCTTTTTGTTTCAAATACTTTTTCCATTCCCTTACAAATTTCAGAAAATTTCGTCACATCTTTTTAACTGATTGGGTCATTTAAATGTTGGGGTTTAATCGACGAAACACCCTGTAACATATATATGAATCATTGCAGACTCTACTCATGGTGAATTTTGGACACGTTCTTTATGAAGCACCTTGTTTATGTGGACTCGAACTAAAGTAATTAAGTTTCAAAGAATTTTAATATTATTTAATATACTTTTCACACAGTTATCACGTTTTTTGTCCGCACGATAAGTCAAAAACCAAAAACGATATCAATTTAAAATTTTTATGGAAAAATCAAGCTCTATAAGGGGACGAAGCTTATTGATTTTGAAAAAATTGAATAAAAATGGGAGGGTTAA